CACCTATGCAACTCTTCCAGAAGCTGCCAAGTTTTCAGGAGCCCATTACAACGTGCAGCATGGCCATCCTGCACTGAGAATAAGCACAGCTGCTGCTGGAAAGCTAAGTGGGTTTTATTCCTCCCCCATTCCCCAGGAAGACTCTGTTTGTTGGGCCATTTTGTTCGTTCGTTCGTTTGGTTTTTGTAAACTTCATTTGGGGGAAATGAAGCTTATGAGAAATTGGTGCCCATCCTGAACCCTCCCCTGTCCTTCGAACTCTGTGAATGGATGGATCACCTACTGTGATTATAATTTAGTGGATTTTGTAGAACAAAATAACTTCACACACAGACACTTGAGGTTCTTTCAGTCTCCATCAGCACAAGCTGCTTCTGCGATCTTAGCTGCTCACATTAGTGAAAGAAAAAGCCTAGCTAGAATGTGGTGAGATGACGTAGTACTTTGTATCAGTCCCATGGTCCCAACATCCATTAGCAGCGCCGCCAACTGCCGTGACATGAATTCAGACTTTGGATGGCAGCCCACGAACCAGTCAGGGTGAAAGCTGGRAAATCCCAAGCCTGAGTCTATGCACATTTCCAGAAGCAGATGCAAAGGGAGGAGCAGCTGAAAGCAGCATCACCTCCTGCTCAGCCAGGGCAGAAGCTGGTGGGCTCTGTTTGTGCTGCACCTGCCCCCAGGAAGAGCCTGTCCCCAGGGGCCAAGCAGAGTGGAGTGAGAATAGCAGAGTGTCTGATGGAGCAGCGCTGCTCAGCTGACTGGARAAACAGCAGTGACAACCAGACCCCAAAATAACAGGATTTCACTTTGGGAATGCCAACAGCTTTTTCAAACTAGAAGGCCKTAACAGCTGTGAGAAGTGTTTAAAAAAATTATTTTTGGTAATGAGGTGGGTTTAATCTCTTCACTCCTTCCATCTCTGTTAGTAATGTGCTGTGCTAGTGAAGAAGAAATGCTCAAGGCAGATCAGGATGGTGGCCCTGTGGCTTTTCAGTGGGGTAGGTTGATCAGGAACGGAGGCTGGAGTTTAAAACCTTTCTGTAACCTGGAGGTGTGACATGGCCATCCACCCACACGTGGCAGGGTGGGCTTCTGTGTGCTCGTGCACAGCTGAGGTCTGTGGCCCTGCAGARGGCTGATGGGTTTGTGGCTTTGGTGCAGTGACACCCATCCACGCTTGTGGCGAGGGCTTTTCAGCATGACGGAGCATTGCTTGTTCCTCGTGAGAGGAAACTCGTGACCTGGTTTCTGTGAGGAGATGGTGTGAAGTGTCACATTTTCTGCAGCGAGTGGCAGGGAGCAGGGATAAAAACATGGAYCAAGCTTGTTTAAGAACAAGCTAATCCACTGTGGCTGCCTCAAACAGGAGAACTGCYGGATCTGCTCCCTGGACAATGCTTTCCAGCTCTTCCCACTCTCCCCAAACCCTRTGTGCAAACTGTCATTGCTCCGAGCTAGCCAAAGCACTCCCCTCCCCTGAYCTCCTCCAAGACCATACATTCACACTGTTTGGGTCCCCTCCCTGCTGAGTGCTGTGGGCCAGCCATCAAACGCCAGCAGATGCATGATGACCACAGGCATGCTGGTGGCCAGCCCTCCCCATACCCTGCCTGTGCCCAGCMTTCCAGCACTGCTCCCTGCCCTGGCATGCCTCCTGCTTGCTTGGAGCGGAGCAACCACAGCACATCCTGGCATCACTTTGGCATCACTTTGTGCTTTCCCAGAGAATTTCACAGCACTTGTCTGAAATTAAGAGAGCAGAAGGCCTTGATGTTTTGGTGGTCCTGGTCTCCAGGGGAGGGGAGGGGAGGGGAGGTCAGCTGTTGTGGCAGGGCAGGACCAGGGGATAGCATCATGGTGAAAACAGCATGTCTGCTGGAGAAGTCTCCAAACGTGGGCTCTGTGCTTCTCTGCTGGGGGCGAGGGCAGCTTTGCAGCTGGCAGAGGGCAGAACAGCATGTGAGTGCTCAGCAAGACATGGGAAGAGGAGAACTGGCTGAGAGAACTGGCTGAGAACAGCTGTGAAAGGCTTTGCAGATGTGGTGTTTTTTACAGGAGACAGAAGGCAAGATGGGGCAGGAGGATGTGGTGCTGGAGCAGTGGTGCTGCGAAGCCGGGAGGGTGGGGGGAAATGGAGCCGGGCATTTGATGGAGAAGTTGTGGAACAGAGTGGGCTTTCAAAGCAATCCCGGCATTCTCTGGCTGAGGAGACAGGCCGGAGATATTCCTAAGCTGAGGTGCCCAGGCCAAGTCTTGCTGCACTGGGAGCAGCAATGTCGCCTCCAAGCCCAGCACTGACAGCTTGGGCACGTGTCACCAACCGCGATGGCTAACGCAGCCACAAGGTGTAAATGTCACTAATGAATAAATTGCCTGGTGCCTGGGAGAGGCTAATCCATCACAGCCAGAGACAGGGATCTGACAAGCCTGGCTATTTCAGGCATACCCTGTAGGGAGGAGAAACGCTTCATTCCTGAGCCGTCCCCTCCACCTAGGGAAGCCGATGCAGAGCTTGGCTCTGTGCCACTTCCCATCTTCCCAGCCACATGAGCTCAGCCTTCATCCCTCTTCTCTGCAACTGAAGAAGCATGGAAGGATCTAGGTTAGCCAAGAGTGTCCTGTCAGCAGTGTGGTGCATGATGCTAGCTGATGACTGAGTTTGGAGAGAGGCTGCTGCACATAGAACATGGGGGGTGTAAGGATGATGGAATACAGCAATGGATCCCTGGTGACYGGGAGAACTTGTGTTAGTTGTTTGGGTTGTAGGGCTGTGGCCTGTGCCGTGTTTCAGGCCCACAGTGCTTGGCACTGTGCTTTAGAAGCGCGCTGTCCCCCTCACGCCACTATGCTGTCCCAAAGGCAGTGCACAGGACCCCCATTYTCCCCTGTCCTGTTGAACCCCAGCCATCTGCACTGTGGCTGACTGCAGAGGGCCAGCAGGTACCGGACAGGCAGGGACAGTTCAGCCTGGACAAGTCCAGCTCCATGGGAGCAAAGGGTGGCTGAATACAGCAACCATTTCTGTGCACAGCCTCTGCTCATCGCTGCGGCAGCCTGCTTCTCCTCCCCCAGACAGTGCTCAAAATCAACCTGCCATCCTGCTGGTGACATATGCCAGTGTGACACCTTGCAAATCGATGCCTGGGTCTCTGTGAGCAGAAACTGCCAGGCTTGGGAAGCTGGCCACTGTCTCCTGCTGCCGCTTGYGCTCTGCTCAGAGCAGTGGAAGCTGGGCTCGCCATCTGCTGTGGGAGGGAGCCAGCTGGGTGCTCCTGCTCCRGCCCAATGGGACACCGCCGGCACAGCCCAAGTGCAAGCCCTTGTGTCATTCCCCCTCCTTTACCTTCCGGCCACCCCTGTCTCTCACCACCTCTCTGGCACAGATCCATGGCAGATAGGTGATTGCTGGTTTTGGGTGTGGGCAAGTGGTAGAGGCTGCCTGGTTTGGACATTGCTTTTYGGCCAAGACATTGATGGGAGAGAGGACAAAGAGTTCTCCAGCAACAGCTACCTGTCCAGGCATTCCTGCGTGTGGCAGTCCAGCAGTGTGTTTGGAGGGTGCTTAAGTGGTTAACAGTCTCAGCTTTTTGCAGGAAAACAAGCAGTGAATATCCTGGAAAGCAAGTCAAARGTTGTTCTGGTCATTACATGTTTTTCCAAGCCCTCTTCTTTCCTTCTCTTGTCCTCACTGGCTCTGRTGGCCAATTCCTCCTTGTGTGTCTACTAGCATGTCTGCAGGATCTCATTGCTGCCCTCCAAGCATGAGCTTTCATTGCACAACTGGCTGACCAGCTGCAGCCCTGTCCTTGGAGCTACAGGCAGGCTTGCCTAGGACCAAGTCACCCCCATTAAACCCCCACCCTCGCTGCTGGAGCTGTTGCTTCATCAGCCTGATGCTGATCTGGGTCTTTTCTGCTGTTTCTGAACATGAGTTCTCATCTCATTGAGGTGTGTCATCCGGTGAAAATATTTTGTAAATGCAAATAAAAATAAATAAGTATATTCAATACCTCGGTCTCGAGGATGGGAAACAAGTAGTGGGAGACGCCCAGGTAGGRAGATTTCACAGCTGCTACTGCTGGTTAGGAATTCTTCTGGACATAGCCCCTGGAGCATCCATCAATAGTTGGGAAGGGAGCTACACAAACCTGTGAAGGCTTGGGGCTGAGCCCTGTCAGCACCCCTTGTGTGGTGCCTGCTGTCAGGGCAGCCTCACACGCCATCCTTTCTGATCTATGWGGGTGTGACACGGTGCAGGTGAAGGTCCTGTTGGCCAGGGGCTGGTGGCACCGTTGGTGTCTGTATCCATCAGGCAGGGCAAGGCAGAAGCGGGTAGTGGTGAATAAATCCTTTTGTGAACACTGGGAAAACAGTTTTTATTTTTCAACTCTGTCRATATGATCTAGCTCTGTCTGTCTCTCTATATATGTACAAACAGTATATCACAATGTTGCCTTTTTTGTTGGAAATATCAAAGTACAAAGATTGTAAACCAAATCGGTGTAATAAAAGTTTCAGATGATTCACTGAGATGGTTGTCAGCAGTGGGTCTGTGAGCAATGGTGCTGGGCAGGGCTGGGAAGAAAGGGAAGCCCCTTTGTTGCCCAGAGGGTGGCAGGGGATGGACATCAACCCACTTGCTTAAATCGCTGGTATCTGCTGAGCAGGGTGGTCAGAGGACTGACATGGTCAAGAATGTGCCTTGTCCCATCCTCAGGTGACMACAGCCTGTGGAGCAAAGGGAAGCTGCTCTGTTCTGCTCCAAGCCCAAAGAAGCTGCACCATTTTCAACCTTATGAGCTCTGTGGGCCACCAGTCCTGCAGGGACCCCTCTAGCTTGAAGGTATGCAAACCACAGATTGTTTCAGACAGGTTTGCACAGACCACTACTAGGTAAGGTAAGCATCTGGTTGTAAAGAATCCACCTGTTGCAAAGCAGGCTAACACTGACCAAAAGCGTTTCCAAAGCAGGAAACATGGTGTGGAGACCTCTTGATTTATTGAATTTATTTCTATTTACTTTTCACCACCTCTRTCAGACTCCAGACAGATTTTGCTATGCATACAAATAAATTATTGAGCAGAGCAATAGTCAGGAAAAGCTGCTGAGGAGCTAGAAACAACATTCCCTCAATCCTCTATGCCTCTCACATCCTCCTCAGCAAAAAACATCAAAGTTAGGTCTGAAACCAGACCATTTAGGTGGCAGAGACTTATCTCAGCTGCTTTACAGGTGAAACAGTATTCACTTGAACTAAGCTTGCTCCTGGAGCATGTAAGAAGCATCACAGGAGGTGAGATTTAGGGTGTAGTGAGAGAGAGAGCTTTAGAGGCAGATTGCCTTGAGCTCTAATGTCTGTGTCCAATGAAGTCACAGGTTGGGTGATGAGGGTCTGGGAAAGGCTGCCAGAGTTAAATGTTTCCCAGAAAAATGAATAAACCAAGACCCTCATGTAAAATATTTTTGAGACTGCACACCCAAAGCACATTTCTCCCGGGAGCATTTTATTCAGAGGGGTTCAGCGGTGGGGTGCTGCAGAGATGCCAGCCTCACCGCTTCCCGATTGGCCCACACAATTTGGTGGATGAGGAAATCAGGCTCCTGTTCCACCTCTGACTGGCGGAGATCAAACTCAGTCAAAGTCTTGTTGTTTTTCAGCCCTTCAAGCAGCTTCTTCCCAGCATCCTGCAAAAGGATGAGAAGGGATGGTTAAAGGAGGATGTGCAAAAAAGAAGCGTATTGCTCCTTTTTCTTCCTCCCCAGACAACTTCTGCTGCTGTCAGTGGGAAGCCCATGAGATGGTGCCAAAGGGCATAAAGGCCTTCACCCAAGTCCRAAATGTTGCTCACAGAAGTGCAGAGAAGGAGTGTAACCTTATGCAGCTCTCTGTGATATGACACATCTAATGACTCCCTCTGGGTTCCACGTCAGGAGCTCTCAAGCTCAGGCTGGTTCAAGCTCACACGTCTGGCGATGATAACCTGAGAGGAGTCTGCTCCTCCTGTCCTCTGGTTCCCAGCTCACTGCTTTCTGGGGACAATGGATTAGAGTGCTGCTCCTCATCTCAGAAGTGGTGAGAGCTCTAGTACTGGCAGTTTTCTGCCTGGATGCCACTTCCCAGGCTGGGTTGGCTTTCCTGAGGGGAATATCTCATGTAACTGAAGACCAGCCTGCATGGGRCAGAAAATGTGATGTAGCCTTAGGGAGGCAACTCACTCTGAGGCATAATCCCCCTGCCATATGTGAAGCATAGTATTTAGGGATGTGACAATTTGAACTTTTTCTCGCTGTTGCTATTCTGTTGCTATTCAAATAAACCTCCTGCCCCATCTCCTCCATTCAGATGGTCCCCTCATCCCAGCAACCTGCCTCTTAGCTCTTTTGCCAAAAATGGCAGAGCAAAAAGGACTGGCAAGAGGTCTCTTTTTAATGGGGTACAGACGTCACAATTGAATGCATCTCTAGCAAAACCCCCAGTTTTCCCAAGGATAACACTACCAGCCAGCTCTTGGGCTGCCATGGAGTTTCACAAATGGGTAACAGGAGAGCTCATCAGAAGGAAGTTGCTAAGCACAGAGATTATTATTTACTAAACAAAAATCCTTCTATCCTTTCCAACCTTTGCCCCCTTGTATCATTAAACTCAAATGGTTTTCCACATTCAGGACCATAAAACTGAGAACTCACAAAAGGTTTTCTGCCATCAAATCCTTTTAAAACCCTTGTCAAACACATTGATGCCAATATTCCTGCCAGCAGGGACAGCTGGTCTCGCTGTCTCTTTATTTGACAGTGAGAATAATTGAGGCAGCACAGAAAGTTTAAAAGCCAGCATGATTGCTTTTGGCTGTCTAGTTTCAGATTTCTAAAGCTCTTTTTAATCAGCAGAAGAGAAGCATTCTGGTTTGTGGGCATGTTGCATACTGCTGCTTTTAGGGATGTAGCAAGATCTGTGGATGCTCTTCTGTCTAGAAAATGTAAGCCCGTGTTTTAGGAGCCACTTACAAGCACACAGACATGACACTCCTGACCCACCACACCACTCCAGGGCCGCAGGGGGAGTTACAGAAGCTCCACAATCAAGCCAGCGTTCTAACAGTCTCCTCTGAGCATGTGATGGACAGGAGAAATTCTGGGAAGGGTGACACTATCTGTGTGCTGCTGAGTGACAGATGGCACAGCAGATCCAAAGCATGGAGGAAATGGATGAGACCTTTATCTCATGCTGCCTATCATTAACTACTCTCACGTGTGCAAAGCGTCTGTGATTTTTCCCAGATATGCTTCCTGGTTTTCAGTTTCCTGGGGGGAAAATCCCTCKCTGCCCAAAAGCCCAAAGCCTCAAAGACAGACTCAGCCCTATGAACAGAGCTAGATGTAACGAGTGAGATAAATGCATGTTCATGCACATAAGGTGTCCTTCTCCTTCCTGACATTTGCTGGAGTCTCTTCCCTGCTCACGGCTGATTGCTATCACAGCAAGAACGCAAAGCAAGGATGTGTTTGCCTCCATGACTTTGAGACAGGCTCAGCTTTGCAAGGCCACCACGCCTGCTCACAGYCTGCAGGGAGAGGGGGCATCTCTTACCAGCCCTAGGCGGTTACATGAGAAGTTTATGCTTGTCAGGGTGGTGTTCTGAGCCAGGACCTGGGAGAACACTKCAGCAGTTGGCTCTGACAGGTTATTGCTTCCCAGATGGAGCGACTTCAGGCTGCTGTTGGTCAGGAGGGCACGGCCGATGGCCTCCCCACCTTTGTCCTCCACACAGTTGAGGCGCAGGTTCAGGGAGGTCAGGGTGGAGCTCTCAGCCAGGCCATGAGCRAGAGCCTGAGCCCCCAGGTGATGGATCTGGTTGTTACACAAATTGAGGATTTCCAATCTGCTGCGGCTGATCAGCTTTCCAAGAGCTTGTGCCCCATGGTCCTTGATGAGATTGTGGGACAAGTCCACCTCCAMCAAGTAGGGGTGATCCAACAAGCTACGGACCAGCAGCTTGGTCTTCTCATCATCCACTTGGCTTTGTGTCAGCTTGAAAACCTGTGGGCATAAGAAACAAGGTTACTAAAACAACCTGTGCTTGGGACTGAGCTTTGTACAGGATCATCAGGGAGTCAATCCTATGGTCCACCAGACAGAATTCATCTCCCTGACCTTCAGACATCTTTAGCCAGTAGGCTCAAGCACTTGCTTTCYGAGTGGGCAGATCCTTCCAGCAAGCAGGGCATGCCACTGATATCCCATGCCTATTCTAAGGAAAAATAGTTTGTCTCCTGGAAATGCCTACTCCTCTCTTCTGACTGCATGAGCTCTCTATCYGGGGGCTAAATTAAAGCAAGATAAAGCCAAATGTCTGCAGCCACTATCAGCAGAACCCACCCCAGATCACAGYCAAACCTGTCTGAATGAACATGTGCACCAGTGGTAATCACAGTGCAGTGTCCTATGTGGCTGGGGCATCTAACAGCCATGACAGAGACAGTATCTCTTCTGGAAGCCATGTAGACAAATATTTCCCAAAGCATGCCAATCTGTGGGGTGTTTATCCAGCTCACTCTGGCTCCACTCTGGATAGCAATGCCCACTGATGTTTTRGAGGGGCTGAGTATCTGTGCTGCAGTTCCCACAGAGCTAAAGATACTGTGAGTACTTAGGGGGGAAAATCCCTCATTGYTCTAAGGCAAGTGTGAGAATTTTCCCATGTTCTTCCCATTGCTTTTCTGGGAGAGGTTGACATGTACTTATTGAGCAAAATTACCAAAAACTCCATATGAAAAGTTCTCTCCGGGCTTTTCCTGCCTCACAGAACTACAGGAGTTAAAACAGTTGAGTGCTGCTGTCCCTTACACTACAGGCTACACGTTTTGTGGGAGCAAGTATTTTTCTCTCTGATCCTCTGACAATCTGTTCTAACAAGGACATGGCAGAACATGATACTCAGCACTAGGCCAGCAAGTTAACATCTCTGCATCCTGACAGACTGTAATTTGCAAAAGGAAGGGCGCTACCAAAACTGGTCCCTGCCTTTCTATCCAAAGCAATTTGAAGATCTACCTAAGGGACTAAGGTTCAGTTTGGGATATGTTACTTTCAAGTTGTGGCACATCTTCAGAGCMGCAGCCAAGTTGGAGCAGTCCTGCTCAGTGAAGTTGAAGAGGCTCCATTCAAAGTTCATKCCACAGCCCTTTACAGTATAAGTGAGATGAAGCTCTTCAAGGTGAGGGAGAGCAGCAACGAGATCTTTCAGGTCGTAGTGATGTGTGTAGGCCTCATTTAATTGTTCAGCATTATCCTCTGTATCAGAGAGGTCATTGCTCTCGTCCTTTGGATCTGGCCGCACAGGTGGCAGGAACTGGTCAATCTCCAGTTTCCGCACGTAKTCTTTGCAGAGCGGGATGAGGTCTAGGACCTCTTTGGGATCTGTGGTGTTAGGGATGAGAAACTTCAGAATATTCTCCAGGTGACGTTCAAAGTACATCCGTTTCCAGCTGTCTCCATAGTTGGAGACTTCACACACTTGCCAGCGCTCAAGACAGCGCCTCTTCCAGTAGTCCTCATGGCTCACTATGTTGGCAGTCACGSTGAGTGGGAGGCTGGTGGGGAGCCTGTCCACCACCTTCCTCTGGTGCTCAGGCAGAAGATAGTTCAAAATAGGGTTGTCTGGAAGGCATAAAAAGGAGAGGTTAGTTGGGGCCTAGGAACCATTGCTGGCACTGTGGCTCTGCCCAGGTCCCCACTGTGTGCTCATGCCCTCCCCTCTGCTGATACCAGCTCTCTTCTCAGCTGCCAGAGCCCGCTGCACAGAGCTAAGCTGGCAGAAGACATGCAGGATTCATCTTGCACATTTACATTTACATATAGGATTTCTAACTTTTACAATAAAACATCAATGTAATTTGGTTTACTCTCATAATRTTTGGGAACTGCACCAGAAACTGAGCTCCCCATTTAAACTTAGTTTGAATGCAGTTTATATTCACAGCAGAAATTCTGCTCCCAAGAGAACTAATTCAGCCTTACAKTGATGGGAGAGCTTGGCCTGCAATTTGCTGAACTTCTCCCTTTTGGTTTCTAAGCATATTGAAGAACAGTATTTGAGAATAACCGTGTGCTTTTCATGCAGGTCCTTGTGCCTATTTRTCTTAATTCAAGCACTGGTCTTACYTCAAATTGATTCCTGTTCCTTTTTGCTGAAGCACACTCCTAGCTTTTAGGTCCACCTTGTTTAAATTAAAATTCTGTTTTTCCCAGGTACCCTTTCCCCTCAGTCTCTTTCCCAGTGCTCGCCCTAAGTCTCAGCTGTCTTCTCTGGCAGAAGTTCTTTGTGGCGAGAAATTCCAGAGAAAACCATGTGTACTCACACCATGAATGTTTGGTTACATGTACACAGTTGTGCTGAGTAACAGAARTCATCAGTGGAGAGACCTATCTGTGCATGGGAAACCAGACTATGAAATGCAGAGTGAGGTTAGCTTTATATTTCCTCTATTTCTGWGGCATTCCCTTCCTTAGGACACTGAGAGTTTTACCACAGCCTCTTTCTGGAGTCTGTTTTCCAGTGTCTTACAGCCGACACTGCAGTGACCTTCTCTGCCAAGTCCCACGGCTCAAGCAGAGCTGGGACACCCAGAGTATGGGCTGGGCTGGGCTGGGCTGGGCTGGGCTGGGCTGGGCTGGGCTTCCCTCAGGCTCACTCAGGCCACACCATGGGCAAGGGGCACAGCTCAGGTAAGGGCATGAGGATCCCCAACACAGCAATCAAACTGCTTTTATATGTGCACATGGCAGGTCTAGTCCACTCGCCATCAAACTGATCAGGCTGATAGGGCTGCCAGGGTGTCCCAGCTCAGACCCCCAGGCACCATCAGCTCCTGGCACAGGGCAGCACGGAGCTCCTCTGCACTGTCTTACAGTCCCAGTGCGGACATAGTCGTAATGCCTTCTTTGGTCTTTGATGTCACTTCACTGAGTCAGCCAAAAGACAGGTAGGCCCTTCTTTCCCCGCTCCCAGTCAGTTCTCAGATGAGACATGCTTTTTCTGTTTTGYTGTTTCATCAGTCCACCTGCTTCAAAAAGCATATTCCCTGCCTGAGGATATAACTTGTCAAATCACCACCAAAAGCCACGGAGGAGGGCTGAGCTTGTGAGTACAATCCGTGTTCCTATAGCTCCTCTGGGCAGGGAGCAATTCTCCACCTTTTTGTACAGCACTCAGTACAACAGGGTTCCATCCTCATTACCCTACATGTTTATTAATCAAGAGCAGGAAACAGCAACTCCAGTGCCCTGGCCATGGTTGAGGTGAGTCCAGAAGAGCATGGATGGAAGAAGATGTGATAGAACAAGGTCAGGGCAGAGTCACATCCTGGACAGCAGCCCAGAGGACTAGAGCCATCCCGGAGTGTACAAGGACATACTTAGCAACTGAACAGTTTGTTTAACTGGCTGCCCAAGGGGATATTTCTCCCCATCTGTTCCTTTGGCAGGGCTGGATGCCACACTCTGCCTTTCAGATGCATCTGCCTGCCTTGTTGGCYCTCTGCTCCCTGGGACTGAGCCTCTCTCTCCATGTGTCCTGGAATAGATGCGCTCCCACTTACTTTCAAAATTGTGAACAATGTGCTGGAGGCAGAGCTCAGTGAGGTGGGGGACAGTGACCAGGGACCAAGTGGGATCCTCAATGAGGCAGCGGCGTGTGTAGACTGGGCCATCCGTGGGGCTGGCCTGAGGTCCATCCGTGGAGTTGGCCTGAGGTCCATCCATGGAGTTGGCCTGAGATCCATCCGTGGAGTTGGCCTGAGGTGGAGATGGTGGGGGAGTGGCTGTGCTCTCGTCATCTGTTGCTGGCTGCTCCAGCTGCTCCATCCTGCTCAGGACCTACTTGTCCTTCAGGACAAGCAAGGGCAAAATTCCTTGAGAGTCACCACCTCTCAAGGTGTGGCTGCCTGCAAAATAAAAAAGCAGCTTTAGAAAAAGCCAGTGATAGGAATGGTCGGCTCACACTGCTCCCAKGTAAGGCACTTGCCCTTTGCTGCCTTCTCTGCTTCAGACTGGAAGCACTGCAGCCAAACAATTACTCAGCCTCCTCTTTATACCCTGCCCTGTGCAAAGAGGTCTCTAGGCACCACATGTAATAAGCAGATAATAATGTGGTGTTAATTCAGAGTGCTGTTGAAGAGGATGGACGGGAATTGATTGTTTACTGTCTTTTCCAATAAAAGTAACAGGGGAAGCTGGCAGGACTGGGTTTGAAGAAAAGGTTTCTTCACCCGGACTGCAGTTGAATTGGGGAATTCCTCGCCACACAACGTTGTGGATGCTAGTAGTCTTTGCAGATTCCAGAAGTCCATGGAAGAGAAAGATGAAATACATAGAAGTCATGTGGCTCGGTGTGAGCAGCTGAACACAGCTGGAGGTGGGGAAAGTGGTGAAGGAAAGAACACATACTTGCATTGTTTTTCTACTCTTTTCCAGATGTCTGCTTCTAGCCACTGTGTTAGGCCAGCTATCTCCTGGTTTGATCCAGTATGCCTGTTCTTGTGATTCTCYAAAGACAGATGCTTTACAAATGAATACATTATAAGTGTACTTTTTTTCCTGCTTTTCTCCATTACTCTCCAGCTGAACTCTTTCCAAACATCCATTAACTGATGAGAGGGGTCAGACCTGTTCARACCACACAGAGCCTAGGCAGATATGAGCTAAAAGAACCAGCCTGAAGCAGAAGGAAGGATGCCTGGTCCTATTAGATTTGCAGAGCTTTCCCAGACCAGTTTTCCATTTGCTCTTTCCAATTCCAGCCTCAGGGCCAGCACTCTCAGACATCAGAATCCCACATGCATGGTTATTGCCTGGAAGTACTAATGATTCTCTTACCAGCCATTTTGAAAGAGGCAGAGAAGACACCAGGAAAGAATCATCCACTYGAGTTCTGGGTTCCACAAGAGCATCAAGGTCTGGTGGGCATCCAGCAGATCATACAGACCCATGCTGATCCTTACTGGGGCTAACTGGGCTTAACAGGGCTGCAGCACAGGGCTGGGCAGTCACAGAGTGCAGGACACCTAAAAGAGCATGAAACAGGTGGATGGAAATGCCAGAGGTGAGGACATCTTCYTCACCCAGAGTATTCCTCAGGGCAATGATGGCCTTGCACCACCATGGGGCCAAAAGGATCCAGTGGGAACAGTCAGCATGGAAGATAACTACCATGTGGTATCTTTGGCCACCTTCCCTCAGCTGAAGGGTGGGATCATCCCAATCAGTTCCTCCTTGATGAGGGATGTGACCCAGACAGCRGTGCATAGATGAGCCATCTTCGGCACTTGCCCTGCACAAGGTTGCTCTCTTCATCTCTCACTTCCCAGCTGGTGCTGCTTCTGTCAGCACTGCCCTYTCTCTCCCTGAAAGCTCTGGAGCTGGCTTAACTGGTGTTTCKCCCTCTGCTCCTTCCCCCTCCAAAAGGCATCTGGGGAAGGACCTGCAAAAGAACTGGCAAAGGGGGGGAAGAGAGATTTGTGAAATGTTGAGGTCTAGAGGAGAGGAGCAAAATATTCATCCTGAAAATACATCAGTGAAGGCTTTTTCAAATGCACTTGAGGCAGGCCTGAGAAAAGAGTGACAGTCAGGAAAGGGTGGAGATGGCAGCAGCAGGGCATTCTCTGGACCAAAACAGGAGGACCAAGGGTGCCAAGGGCAGGGAAGCTGTATTTCCTGGGAAGCTGTGGTAAGGGCTACAGAAAAAGGGAGCCTGATCTGAAGAAGGATAGATKTGGAAGGAGAAGGAATGAATGACAAGCAGCTGTGAGGATGGACTGGGARTCCTTTCCCTGCAAAGCTCCTCGTGCCCTAAGGAAGATGCTGGTATGATGGGTCACCTTTCACTCAGGGAAGAGGAGAGGCCTGATTCTCCACAGCACACTAACCCAGCTCTTGTGCTTGATGGACTTCACTGGAAGGGCAAAACACAACCAGAAGGCAGTGAGCTGGCATTAATAGAAGTGACTGGGAAAATTGTTTTCTCCTTGCTCAGTCCTTTGTCCTATTCAAAAAGCATCTGTATCATTTTGTCCCCCAGGCCAATCACAGCTAATTGGAGCTTCTAATGGCTTTCCTGGCCTTTTGGAAACAATCATTAAAGGCCAGCTGTTGAGGAGAGCCGGTGCAGCATTGGTGGCCTAGGATTATTTCCTGTCTGTTCCAGCAGACGATCTGATTGCCAGTGTACCGATGGCAGAGTGATTTTCAGAGGATAGGAAACCCCTGGCACATGCAGCACTGCTGAAGGGGCTCCAGGARTTGAAGCAGGAGACACAGCTGCCTTGAAAGCAGAGCTGTCCTGGCTGCTGAGCAGCTTTCCCTAGATCTGAGCCCCAGAACAAGGGAGCTCATCTGACTCCACCATGCCCAATTGTCATTCATCACGAAGCCAACAGGAGCAAGGCTGCAGAGCATCCACATCAACCCGGAGCCACTGCTCCCGATACATCCATCCCACCACACCAGCATGGAGAGCACACCTGCCAGCTGCCCTTACCACCAGGGGAAGGGCCTCCTTCACTGCTCATCCCCTGTGCCTTGGTTGCAGGAGTCTCACCCAGCCAGAGCTGACACTCCAAGCCGGTTTCCAGAGCCGGGTTTGCTAAGCATGTGTTTAAACACCGGGAAGYGCTGTAATTCACTAGCAATAAACCGAGTCAACAGCATTAATGCACGCTCCTTCCCACCCACTCTACAAACAACACATCAATCACCTATCCKAAAAAGGCTTTATTAGACGATATACAATGAATGGAGCCATGTAGTAAATTCCCAGGTTTTGTCATTTAACACTCGGATTAGACTGAAAAGTAAATAATGCTAGAACTTCTGAAAAAAATAAAGGAAATCACACTTCTCTTCCCAGAAAGAACTGACAGAAACCTACTCACACAACCGAATTATGCTGCTGCTAACATGCCTAACAAATCTTCTTCAGCTGAAACTGTTTTGATCTGGAAAGAAAACATTTTTGCTCTTTTCATTCACACCAAATCCCAGAGAGACCAAAAAAAAAAAAAAGAGCTGCATGGAAACTGGTGACCTTTGGCTGATGCTCCTACCAGCATTACAGAGATCCAAGAAATGGAACAACTGTAAATACTGTGTTTACTGGAGAGTTTGCAAGAGCAGGATAAATTATTTCTGAGGGTGGTTATGCCCCAGTCAAGGCTGCATTTGCACTGAAGCTCTGTTTGTCTCTTAATTACACCAGTGCAGCAGCGCCCTGAAAATGCCAATTGTTCTGCAGGTGTGCTGACCTTCGTGCTGTCACCTGTAGTCCAGGCAAGTGATCCTGGCTAACACCACTGATCCCACTGACCTGTGGGGGACTTGCCATCAGGCTGATGCTAAGTGTCTAGTAGGCTAATCCAGGGACTGAGGCCCTGCAATGGGCTTTAAGTGAGTTAAAAGAAATAAAATTTTTAAAAAGGCGTCAAATGAGGAATCTATTTAGCTTCAGATATAATAAAATTTGTCTGTTAAGGGAGATTGGGCAGAGTGAGGCCAGCTGGCCGCTTGGGAATTTGGTTAATGTCACCATTGTAATCCAGGCGGTGTGAAGGGCCAAAATTGTAGTCCTGGATCTCTGTGAGCATGACCTGGGAAGGGCCTCGCCCCAGTGGGATGTCAGAAACGCAAAAGCCCTTTCGGAGCTGAGCATCGCCCACCGCAGCCCCCGGAGGCTCGGGGAGGGGCAAGGAGAACGCCTGGGTGCTGCTGAGCGCCGCGGCCCCGCCAGCCCCGCCAGCCCAGCCCCATGAGATGCCGGCCCTGCCCTCCCCCTGCCAGCCACGCTCCTCTCCAGAGACCCCGAGAGGGGAGAAAGCTCATTAGCGCGGCCGCTTCGTTAGGAATTTAGGAATCAGACCTGCGAGCCGCCGGGACGGGGCTGGGAGCACCGGGCACGGCCGCGGAAAGGCGCGGGGTCCCTCCCGACCCCTCGGCCCGGGGGATTCGGCTGCCGGCTCTGTGGCGCTGCTGCGGGGCAGGGAYCGGGATCGGCACCAGGACCGGGACAGGACCAGCCCGGTGCCCACACTCGCCGCCGCCGTCTCCAGGGACGCGGCCGTTGCCGGGCGGGGCTCCCCGGTGGGGCCTGCCGCCTCTGCCACACGCCTGCCCGCCGCCAGGGCCCGCCGGCCGGGAACAGACAGCGGGAAGGCCGAGGGACGGGCTTTGGGACGCTCCCCCGTCACCCCACCCCGCTTCAGCTGCTGAAGTTAGTGCCATGGAGAGTGGGAGCCCCTCTTCCAGCACCGAGGGAATGTGTGAGCTCACCACCGTGCTCCACGAGTGCTGGGCACGGGGGGCATTTGCCGAAGTCSTGGACACTCCTGCAGCAGCATCATGGAAAGCATCATGGAAAGAACCATGGRGCGAGGTGTGCACTGGGAATGGTTCGGTACCGATATTCAAAGGGTGAATGCATTGCTGTCCCCAAGGTACCTGCTTTGTTTCATGTTTATATTGCTGCCTGTGCCTGAAACAGGCTCGCTTCAAGGCCTCATATATTGGGGCAAAATAACATCCCAGGCAGGTCAGAATGGGAAAATCTGAGAACTCCACTGCTGGCAAAAAGATCTTGGTCCATCTGCTGCATGTTCATCTCTTTTCCTTGATCTGTTCTTTTTTCATTCTGCTCTTGAGCATCCTTTGTAGAGGAGGGAAAGGACCAGAATCCTCATGAAGGCCCTCATCATGCTGTGGAATATAAAGAGTAATCAGTGGGATGAAAACATGCATGTACTCTTTCCCACTCCTCAGATCCAAGCATTTCAGTATTTGCCAGGGCATTTCCAGCCTGAAAYGTGTCTTTCTTTCACTCCTTGGAAATGCTGATGCACTCAGTAGCGGGCACAAGAGGAGTGCAAGCCAGCCTGTGCCCTGTGGGAGCATACATAACACTGGTGCCAGGTCTCATGATAGTCCTGCAAGTCCCATGGAGCTGGCAGTTTTAGGAAGCTGTGCTGACTTTCACATAAAATTTACCTCCTGGTCACAAAGAAGATGTTAAAAGCATGATCCCAGAACGCCCAAAAGGCTCAGCAACAAAACAATAAATGCAAAGAGGCATAGATTAAAAAAAAAAAAAATCAAGACTCTGAGGCCTCCTTCATGAGTTTCAAAGATGAGAAGTTAGACCTTGGCAGCAATGTACTTCTTTTTCTAGGTGTGGCCTGATTCTGTCACTCAGCTCCCCAGAAGACAGTGACACCGCCTGTGAGTCAAGCTGGTGTTTAACACAGTGGGGGCRAGAGAAGCCTTGCAAAGCCCTTCACAAACGCTGGGCTCACACTGACCATGTTACTCCTGGGAACACATCTTCAGGGCTTTTCAGACCTTGAAMAGAAGAAATGAAAGCAATATAAAACCAGAAATATTTTCTCCTGCACTGGTTTCTATGCACACATTCAGCCAGACTCCCGAATTGCAAAGTAGATAGCCAAAACCAGATCCACAGAAATAGCCCCCTCAGCTGCCTGCATAAGAGATCAGTTTCTGAGCTGAGACTTCAACAAGCCATCAACACTGAGGTTTTTAGCCCCCTCATGGCTGATACAATGCAAATGTCAAGTTTTRGAGACTTCATGGTCCCATGGAGTCCAGCTGTGCCTGCCCAGTCATTGATTCCCAGAGACAACAGGCAGTAGTTGTCAAAATGGACACAGTCAGGTGTTGAATCATATACTGAAAACGAGTGGTAATTAAAAAAATAGCTGTGTTAACTCCTTCTCTGCCTTAGCATTTATTTCCATGAATGTAGATATTAGTGTTGTTCCCAGTGGGGTGTGAAGTGGCAGCTGCTCTTTAAATGCTATGGAGAAAGGATGAGGGTAAAACACCATCCATTCCCATTCCCATTCCCATTCCCATTCCCATTCCCATTCCCATTCCCATTCCCATTCCCACTGTTGAATCTGAGAATGGGGATGAGGGAAGGTGCTGCTTCCTGGCCTTAGTGACTAAAGCACCATCCTACCAGCAGACCCCAGGTGCCCTCTGTATCCCTCCAGCTGCCAGGTCTCAGATTTCCCCCAGACAGCACCTGTGATGGTGTTGTG